ATGATATATTAATGGGTTGCAATAATATTCCAAACCCACACATTGTGATATTGGAACCTGGTAAAGCTCCAAACCGCAATGAGCATGTTCATGCTGCATGTGAAATGTATTGGAGTGAGTTAGAAATCAGTAATGATAAAAAATTATATATTGCTTGTGATCAGGCTATTTATTATTATGGAAGACTGATCTCTAATAAAAAACAACATAATAATGTGCAACTTCTCTTGGGGCAATGGCACACATCTAAGGCTATGTTGGGTGCATTGATTAAAATATTTTCAGAGTATGGCATTTTTAATGTTGCAGCTGCTCCGAAAGCGTGAAAAGTATATTGAAATCCACTCAGGTGAATACTGCCTGCCAAACTTCTTAAACAAATCCTCTATTCATTTGCTTTGATTTTCCTTTGGAGGGTATGAAATAAACAAACCGATTCCATTCTTATTGATTGTCTTTGTGACAACCAAGCTGAAGCCATTAAAATCCTCATGTCTTTTAAAGAATATACTGAACTAAATAAAGAAAAGATGCAGTTATGGCAGGACTTCAATTGAACCTTCCAAGATTGTCAAAAAAGTTTTAGGGAGTTGTTTATCAAAAAGTTAGCAATCCATCAATTTCTTTGCCTGAATTGAAAAACTTGTACTTTTAGCGGCTCGCAGTTGAGCCAGAGATAAAAATTACTTTTTTTTACTCTATTACTACGATTGATTGCATATTTTCGAATTGTGTGAGTTAGCCCAACAGTGAAAAAAGAAAATTAAAATTTTATTTGGTGGGTGAGTTTTTTAATTAATTTAGCATAGTGTTGGTGATTGATTGGCTTAAGCTTTGGCTTGGCTTGGCTTTTAGGCTGGGGTTTAAATCAGAATTTGATTTTTTTGAGAAAGTTAAGCATGCTTTACCTCCTTTTCTGCCTTGCTCCAGCGTGGATACTTTTTCCTCCATCCACACCATCTAGTAGTGATTTCTAACAACCGCCAAAACCAAGCTAGTCCGCTAATAATCATTCTCCCCATGACCTCCCTCAACAGCCCATTATCTATCAAAAGCCAGAGAAAAAACTCTGTTGAAAATGTTTTCTGGGAAAGTTTCCTATGAACCTGAAGGCTGTTAGTAGTCCAGTGATTTTACTATTGTAAAATCTGATGATGTCACCAGATATCGCCTTCATGAGGAAATTCTTGATTAATCATTTTCTTTTCAAACATCATTTAAAGTTTCGTACTGATTAAATCATTTAAGGAGTAAAAAATAATGAAGTTTGTTTCATTGATAGAGCAAAAATTTACCACAATCTATCTGTTCAATCTAAAAAATCTGGTGTGGCGTTGGGGGCATGGCGATGGCGAAGCCAAGCCAACTTTGGTTTTTGTCAAAGCCAAAGTGGCTTGGCTTCTCCATCGCCATGCCCCCAACTGCACACCTTGTGTTCAAATTCTTCAAACTGTATTTCTTTTGTCTCACTAACCGAGTACTCACTTTCCTTAAACCTATTAGTTCCAGTAATTACATTAGCTGCTCAAATCAAGGACAATAAAATCAAACAGCAAATAGAGAAATTAACCATTTTAAACCAAAATTTAGTCTTTAAATATAAAAACTCCAAAATCAATTCTCGGGTTTTCATGCTCTTAAATCGAAGAATATCACTCTCTTACTTTCATTTAACAAATTTTTCTCTGTGTTCTTGGGGAATTATAGGGTGTATTTTAAATAAAAAAATATGAGTTAGAGTTTTCAATTTTGGCAAATCAGAGATGGAAAGATATCTCAAATTATTCCTTTCTTGGATTATGAGTTCAGTTCCCTCTAATTCCTTTTAGGTGTACAATACCTGGATAAACTTAATAAGGTTGTGGATTATCAGGTAATTAGTCATGTAATAGAGTTAATATGGAGTGCTGTTGGGATGGTGCTGTGTCAACATGTTAAGAGTTGGGGTGGGAAAATGCATGACATATTGATGGGTGACAATCAAGTAATGAAAGTATGGTACTTGTTCTTCTGCTGGACTGGATATTTTGTGGGACACAAAATTGGAATAAGAAAAAGAAATTATATGATGCAAATGGCAAATCTGGCCACATTTGCACCCCTTTTCCCTGCTGCCAGAAAGCACAGATATGCAAGCTCTGCTGCACACTTTCTAGCACAATTCATGATGATGTACAACTTCAGAAATTGTTAAAGATGGTATGCTCTGTGAATATTACTCATGAAAGACACTATCTTGCATTTGATGAGGCACTTGAAATATATGGTGTGAAGTTCATTAAACAAAATATTACAGAAAACCTTGTTGACAATGAGACTATGAAAACAAAAATCAAGGCAGCCCAAAGTGAATGAGATCATCTGTCACTGCTTCTTGCAGAATATGCTGGTGATGCAGTCGTCACAGTTGTTGTTGTCGTTGTCAATGTCGGATAAATAGTCGCCAAAACCGTCTTCTGAGGCTGCCTGTTGTGATATCGCATATGAGTTTGTATCAAATTGAGTTGCCTGCGCAAGCCTTTTATTGGCGACCCATGTGTGTGCAATTCGAGTTTTTTGTACCGTTAATTTTTTATATACTGTGTTTTTAGATAACGTTTTTTATATATAATCTGTTTTT